TTTTTTTCCTTGCTGCGACTTTCATCTCAGACATGAGCAAATGACCACTAGGGATGGCAGTTTGATGGCATGTCCTGGAATGATTTGAGACAGGAAGCTCCATTTCTGAGATGAAAAGGCAGTTTCTACTTAGTGGCTAAGGCTTGCTACAGGAAAAGGGTTATTAGCACAATAAAAATCAGGAACGGTGCACAGAAACAGCATCTGGATTTATGAGCTACAAATGTTCTTGGAGGCAAAGGAAACCCAGCACCCTTTGACTCTGTCCTCATTACTCTACCTTCTCCTCTGGAAAAAATATGTAATAGAAAAAAAAAAAAGAGCATAAATGGGTATGGAAAGGATGGAGATGCCCTTTCTCTTCATGTAGGGTTTGCAGATGGGCATCTACATCATAGACAAGTGTCTTCTTAAATTATCATCAGCCAATAAAACTGCCACCATATTCTGGCAGTTTGCCACATGCCAAAGTCAAAGTTCTTGGAAATAACACCCAGCTTATGCTAAGAAAATTGGCACATGTAGGCTCACTTCTCTAGGAGTTTAGCTCCAGCTGATTTAGGGCCACCTGGATACCCTGTCAGATCCCTCAGTGATGAGAGTTGCCAAATTAAGCTCTTCCCTTCAATTGTCACGAGTGCCTTATTTCATCTGCAGCCTTGATTGCCCCCTTAAAGCACACCACAGAATATTTGCTATGCACATCAAGCAGGAAGATGAAAGAGTGTAAATCACAGATCTAGGGTGATTATCCAAAAATCAGACTGCTGAGAAATGAAGCATAATATCAGTTAAAGTGTCACTAAAACAGAGTTATGAGAATAGTCAGGTAAAATACTTGATAATTGCTTATAATTTTCAGTGTTTGGAAAACAATTTCCTGGCCAGATGTTTTCACATTGTATTAGATGTTTCATTCCCTGTCAAGTGTTGTACATTTTCCCTAGTTTATGATTCAAGGTGTTAATCATATTCAGTCTTTCAAGATGATTACCTGGCAGCATTAACATACAAATGTACAGTGATTATCTCTGCTTTTCAGAATTCTTTGCATTTTGCACAAGGAAAATAATAATACAAGAAATAAATCAGTCTCCTTCAACTTGCATGATGCCTATTTCAAAATGAAATTACTATGAATTCAGAGTCTATGAAAATTAGGTATTAATCAACTTCAAAGTACAGGAAACTTTCACCTCAGCTTGAAAGTAGCAACACAGAGTTAAGAGTCTTACAACAGGCCAGAGTTGATAGGCATAACCACCTCATAAAACAAACACATTCCTTACTTGCAGTCTCCAGTGCTTTCATATCCTATTGATAAGACTTACAGCCATTTCTGAGGAATATGCAGCAGTTTACAGCGGACAAAAATAAAAAATTAGGACACTATTTCAGAGTGTAGAGGAAGTTACTACCAAATCTCCTGCCTTCTGCTGTGAAACAGTAAAAATTATGTAGTAAAACTGGGTCATTCACCTGAATCTAAAAAAAAAAAAATAGAGGTTATTTACAAAAAAAATTGATAAAGGCAGTACGATGGGAACACATCTCCAGTTTCCACTGATTTCACAGAAGTCCCATAAAGTATCTAAATTTGTTCCTAGTGGCATTATTACATAGTCATTTTTTCATGTCTGAATTTATTATATCCTGCTGCTCAAAGGAAACAGGGAACATCACAGCAACAATTCTTTGTAGAGTCATCGCTCTACAAATGCTTGTGCAAGATTTGTGTCAGAGGAGTGACTGCCTGAAGTGCCTAAATTAACCTCCCTGGGTATGGGGACTGCTCACGCACCTCCTGCTCAGATTTTGGCTAACACAGCCCTTGTCAAGGCCTGACCTAATGGAGCAGCACCCCGGGGTCAAAGCAAGAGCTCCAGAGGCAGCAGAGGTGGCCAAAAGGGCTCAAAGGCCATCCTTCAGCCATCACCACCTGCAGAGGGATGCAGCCACCACCCTTGTATAGTGAGTGTCTGGAGGCTCCACCCCAACCCACTAGCTCATGGAAATGCTACACACCACATTGCCTTGATGGGAGGTATAAAACCAGGAGTTTACCCAAAAAAGCTTTTAAACCAGACCTAACAGCAGCTGAACTGCCAAGGATTTCATGCTTCCTGAGACAGCAACAGAGAAGGGAGGATGATGAGCACTCTCACCATTGGCTGGGTGACTAATTTTGCTCATCAGTGCACAAGTGAAGGGTTACAGGTTACAAGTTAAGAAACCTTATGACTTGAGTAGTCAAACAGTGAATTCACATGATAGAAATACAGTCTGTGCAAGGGCAATTGAACCCTTTTGTTTGTTTATATTCATTAAGGAACTCATAAAATAAACTTTAATGTACACAGTACGTTGTCCTGTAAATTTGGGATATCCAAATGGCCCATGGCAGGTATTCAGAGGCAGAAGGCACAACTCTCCTTCATTCTCAGCAGGAATCAGTGGCAAACACATAGGCAGGAATACTTGATTTACACACATTCCCTCACTAATGTGGCCTAATGCATCGGCTAATTCCTGGTGCTATGCTCTGTCCATTGCTCTTGCTTCTGTTTTTCTGTTGGGCCTTTCATGTTACAGCATCAAGGCTGAATGATTGGAAAAAATAAATCCGACTAATCTTTCAATCACTTCAGCTCATTTTTATTTCTTTATCCTTTGCTCTCATAGTTGATACTCCCCCAGTCCTTTTGACCCCTCCACGGTTCTGGCCCTGAAAGATATTATTTTCAAAGAAAATGGGAGAAACAGCCAGAGGGAAACATCAATGCATGCACATTTCCCTTTGTTTTTCTGTCACTAAACTCATACATATTTGTACTGCAGACCAACAAACAGCTTCTCTTATCAGGCAGGAGCCAGGATCACCTATTTCAGAGTTTCTAAGTATTATCAGAACACCTGTATTCAAAAACAGAACTGATAAATCATCAAAAGCAGGAAATGAAGGGAAACATTTCTCTAGGTTCATAAGAAAAAATATAAACGGGAAAGTTTGAATCAAAATCATTATAAATGAGTTGCAGCATTTTGCCAGCATTTTATTAGTCCTTGTTTCACTGTGATGGCAGTGCACATACTCTTCCTCATTTTTAGAGGTAATATACAGTTTGCAGTGCCAATTTGGTTGCCAAGTCAGACTTCAAGCTCCAGTTTCACTGATGACTCCAGCATTTTCAGAGTGAGGTGCCAACAGATTCGTCTACGTGTTTCAACAAACCAAACTGTGCCTAAATCACCGTTCTGTTCTCTAGCCCCAGGCTGGTTCTCAGAAATATTAAGGGTAAATTTCTGGTACTCCTCAACATTTGCTAGTATTTTGTATTAAAACAGGGTTTACTTTAAATTTTGCACCTCTGAGCCCCATTAACCATAGAATATGCTACTGAAAGAAATCCCATAAAGACAGTAAGAGCCAAAAGAATGAATCCTGTATTTTATTCAAGCCACAGGCAAAAGGATTACAGACTTCACTGGGGTGATGTCTGCACAGAGCAGGAATGACAATTAAGGCCTGGCCAAAGGATTTACATCTAACAGACCCTGTGACGATTGTCTAATGTCTTCAAGCCAACGTTCATAAAGCACTTCTGCATTTAATCTTAATTGTACTTTCATCTATATTAATTCCATACTTTATTTATACAGATATCATTTTATTTTTCTTCAATTTTTCAAAGTTTAGCTGCAAAGAAAGTTTATGTAGAAATAACACCAAGCTTTGCTCGCAGTGATTCACCAAAATCCCTCAACCATTTAAAAGAAAACCTGCTCATTTCTGAGGGTTAATCAGCCCACAGCATGTTCTTTCATGCCCCTACATATGGGCTTACAAACTTTATCTGGTGGCTACTAGCGTGGTCTACTGAGTTACTACCTGAAGAGGCTGCATTTTCAAAAAGAAAAAAGGCTAACTTGTGCTTGGCTATAACATTTGTAGATTGAGAGGAGGAAAAAAACCACACAGTGCTTTCAGGGCACAAGCCTACATTACTACCTGCCATAGAACTTGTTCACAGTTCCTGGGTGAGTCACTACAGGTAAGCCAGCATCAGAGGAGACGACTGAAAGATTTTTTTGTAAAGATCACTCAAAAGAAGATCCACTGACCCAGAATACATTCCTCATATTCCACCTCGTGTTCTAAATTATATCTTTTATTCCATATGAGTTTTCTTCAGTTGTAAGAGTGGTATGATGTAATAAAATCGCATTAATTCCATTTTAAAGGCATAAATGTTTCAGCACAGAATTTGACTTAGAATGTCAAGCTCATTAATCTATATTTATACATGTTGCTATTCAAGATATTTTTCTGTTAAAACTTGACTGATTATTTAGAAAAAAATGAAGCAAAGTGAGTGTTATTTCTAGAAAATTAGACATCTTTCAACATTAGCTAAGGAAAAATCCCAACAAATGTAACTGTTTGAGGAGTAATTAATGCATTTTCTGTCTGTCTTTATTGCAGGACTACATGATTAATGAGCTGTCATAGTCTGAAGGCATTCCTTGGCATGTTTCTGTGACTTGTTCAGATAATAAGCCTGAAGAGATGAATGAAGCATGTCCTGCCAGATCTGCTGGGATGATTTCCTCGTACCATAACCGGTGGACATGAAGTACCTCAGCTATTCCTAAAAAAATATCTGTCTCCTCATTAATCAAATCCTGCCTTACACTGTGTGAGTGCCACTGTGAAGAGAAGCACATGGTACTTACACACACACACATAGGATCAAAGAATGGATTCTCCAGCTCTGTTGTCTTCCTCAGGTGAAGGAGAGATGTACCTAAGATGTCATCAGCCCTCAGAGAACTGGTCCCCGGGGCCCAGTGAGCAATAACCACCACACCACAGGTAAACTCAGAGACAGCATAGAAAACTTGCCTTAATCTGATTAGCCATTCTCCAGGATCTTTGTGAACAGGGCTTCTGTCAGGACACAACACACCCCACCCATCATTGTCCCTTCATGTGGGCTTACCTAAGAAAGAGCAGCTGCAGACAGGACACTGTAGGATCACTGTGCAGGGACTTCCTGGAAGAGGGACTATGCTGAGGGATGCATTTTCTTCTATAATGGAGGATCAGCGTGGTCAGCCAGTAACTCTTGCCAGGTTTTTCTGTAGAGGGAGACAAGGTTTAATGGTCACGAGAAAATACTTTTTAAAAGAGGTATGCTACAGCGAACACAGCTTAGTCTAAAAGCATCTTTGCCCAACTTGGAGGTGGTGGGGTAGTGTTTTGGGGTTTTTTTTTTTTTGTTGTTGTTTTTTAATAATAGCAGAATTACACTGACTTCACATCTGAACAGGATTCCTGGGGTTACTTACATCTTACTGTGTATAACACAAATCACTTCCTTGAGAAGTGTCCAGATTTGTTCAGATACCGAGGTAAGGCACAGTTGAAAGCAGTAGGTATGTATTTATTTCCTATCTTATCAGTATGAACTGTAAGAGAACAGCAAAGACTGAATAAATGGGTATCTCACTCAACCAAGCAGCCAAAAATAGGAAAAGTAAGCAGCCTGTGCTTAGTGTGGGTCTTCCCTCTTAAAAAGTAAACTGAACTGTGGCTTCCATGATCCTGAGATACTGCATCTCAAGCCACAGGGGCAGAAGGCACTGCCTACTAGTCTTTGCTGCCTTAAGCTATTTGACAAACTCCCAAAATGTACCTGCTCATGTTAGGAAATTACTTGGATGGCTTTAAACAAGCGTGGAGCTAGACAGACTGAGAACAAAAAATTGTACCCTGATGGTCCTTCTATAGCTACTGAGTGAAGTAGAAACTAACTCAGTGCAGCAGAGGAGCCATCCCAGCACCTTTAATAATACCTTTGGATTATTCATCACTAACACCAGCAACAAGTGCAAAATTGCTAATCAGAAGGGAAGCTCTATCACCCTCTGGGGTTTTTTTCTGTGCTGTCATGAGTAGAGCTTTCAATTGTTTGGACAAAAGGGATAGCTTGCAAAACAAGTTATAAAATTTCACATCACTGTCATATGGAATGAATTTACAGAGAACCACCTCTGGACTGCAGTGTATTGGTAGAAAGTTGCCAGGAAAAAAAATATTCCTCCTTTGTTCTTTTATGTTTCTCTAACCTGATTTTCCTTTCCATGCCCCTATTCGTCAGATGAAATGGTTTGTCCATCTTAGTTTCTAGTACAGTATTTTGACAGACTAAAGTTTTTTGACTGTCAGATGGTAAATAGTTTTGCTAGTTTTCAACTGCAAAATAAAATAAATCCCAAAACAGCCAGCATTTCTTATAACTAGTCTCTTTTTGCACTATTTCTTTTATTTGCCAAGCATAAAACAAAGACCAAAACTAGATTAGGATAATTTTCACTGTTTGCTCCAGCACAGCAACAGCAAGTCATGACATTTTCTCTGAGTTCTTAAATACTTAGAAGACAGGATTTGGGGGGTTTGTAGTAGTTGTTGTTTGGGTTTTGTTTGGTTTTTTTAACCAATAAATAAAATCTGAAGGATTCATTTGAACAAAGAGGTTTTCAAAACAGAAGCAGTTATTGTAAGGTCATCTGCAGAGAGTCCTGACAAAGACCATAAAGAACTGAAGTATTTTGAGAAGAAAGGAGGAGGGAAACTGGATGCAATGACTACAGCTCATCTCTTCATTGAAATCTAGGCCAGAAAGAGAAAACTTGAATCTTCTAATTTGACGGCTGTTTTGCAACAAAACCACCGTATGATGGTGCTTATTAAACAGCAAAGTCTGTCCCTACCAATTGAAGAGGATCATTTATAATACCTGAATTAATAAACAGAGGACAGGGGAAATCTCTTGCTATTAATTTTTGAGCTAATTGGAGGGGAAAAGCTTTACTAGAAGTGTTTTCACGGTAACAGGTATGGTTTAGTCCATAATTTATTATGATGCAAGGAAATGCACATCTAAGTTTACAGCAAGAATTAAGTTCAATATTATCGGATAATTAATGTGACATTGACAAAGCAGCTTGTTGTGTGCATACATTACTTAGCAAAACTGGAATATATTGTCCTCTCCCGATAACCAGCTGTGCAATAAATCACAGCAGCCTTTTGGATAATTCTGCAAACTAGAAGTTATGGACTGACAGCACTAAATCAGGTAAGTTTAGTCCCCAGTATCCACGTAATTTTTCTCCACTGGCCATGGCCCCTGTTGCAGTTTAAACACGGCAGGCAGCCAGGACTAAACACAGCAAAACATAACACCACACAGGCTGCCACATAGAAAATTCCCTCTATCCAGCCAAAACCAGTACAACACCACACACATATGTGATGGCAATACCCATCCAGCAAGGTGTTTTCAGTTCTGAAACCTGAATAACAAAGACCTCCCAGAAAAAGAGAGACAGTCTCAAGAAAATCAGTCTCTCAAGGATTTTGGCTGAATCCTTCTATACCAAATCCTCTCACACACGTGCCTATAATGACGGACTCAGGGATTTTTTTTGGTAAGGGGGGAAAAATGCTTTGTATTCTGAAAAACAAAACACGGAAACAAATAAAAACACTGAAAACCAAATAAAACCACGAAAACCATAAAACCATTGCTTTCTTTCTGTGATTTACAGGTGACTTTTCAGTAGCCTGCCTTTCAGCATCACATTGTTTGCACAACTGAAAAAGTAGTGAGATGCTGGAGTCTTAGGAAGATTTCAAAAAAAACACCCCAAACCAAATCAAAATATTTGCTGGAGAACAAAATAAGCTGCAGCACTACAAGAGGGTAAAAGAAGGTCAATCTATCTGGGCAGGGCACCACCAGAACATTGTTTCTGTCCCTCCTCAGAGCAGGGTCAATCAGAATCTTCTCAACCAGTACAGAGGTGCTACATACAAGGTCAGAATGTTTTACCATTAGGTTGAGAATAAACAAATGCTGCAGAGCATCAGGGAGTTCCCATGTCAAGCTGCCTCTAAGGGTCACGTGTTGTTTTGCTTTGAGCAAGATCATTTGAAGTCTGTCCTAAGAAAGCAAAAGTTGGAGAGTGCTTGTGGTTGCTGTTCTCCGCTCGGCTTCGGCTCTGCTGTGCACAAACAGACGCCGTGCAGAAGACAAACCTCGCTTTACAGAGCTACCTTTGTCACGTGTTGCACCTTGTTAAACTAACACAGAAACCCCACCAAAACCACAGGTTCTGTCTCTGGTCCCGTGCGCCCGAGCACAGGAAATGCAGGGTTTGGAGTCAAACAGGAAGCAGTGCTTTGCGCGGCGCAGCTTTCACCCCCCCCTGTGCCGCGGGTAATTAAGGAGCTGGCAGTAATTGAAAATATCCCTGCTTCTTTCACGGTAAGTACCTTGTATTACTGCTTGATGTATTGTAGCTACCGACAGATGACAGAATAATTTGTCTTTTATTCAACTCCAACGCTGAGTTATTGGAAGTTGGACTTGTCTGTGGCCTAGAGGGAGACATTGTGCCAGAGTTTCATTTGCTGTTCTTGAAGGCAAGAGGTTTATAAAAGTTAATGAAATACAGCCAGCAAAGAGACTGCAGAGGGTCTGAATCTCAGAAGCAGCAGCACACAGATGCCTGTTATTACACAGGGCAGCAGAAAGGCATCAGTCTTTCCCATCTATACAATAGAAAATAGGTAACATTTTCATATGCTAATTTTCTATCATTTGACTAACTGCTATAGCTGTTATATTTCCTCTTAGTTTTATATTTTAAGTGATGCATAGCAATCTTATAGAACAGAGATCGTGAAATGAAGACAATGGTCCAATATCATTAAGTATTTTCATGCCTTAAGAGACTCTCTCAAGCAGTGCACGTCTGCAATGAGCACACTTCAGAATCTTCAGTTAAAGATGTGTCCTGCATCACCCAGTGGTTATGGAGATAGTTGCCTGTGGACTCTGACTACAAAAAGTGCAAATAATTTCTGAAAAAACTTTTTGACAGTTAAAAATATAATCCTATGTGAGGCACAGAAACTCACATAATCCTAGTGTAAGATTAAAAGTACTTTGACAGAAAAAAAATTAACATTACTTTAGAGCTCTGTAACAGTTGAGCCATCGCTAAAGGACTTAACACCTGTTTACATGGCTTGGTTGTGGGGCTTTAAAATAAATCTCACTAATACTTGGAGAAAAATCACGATGTTATTTGCTTTCTGGGATATAAAAAGAGATTAAAATGTCAGGAAAAGCATCAAGTTTTCTAAGATGCACTATTTACTGATAATGGCTAAATAACTTTCATTATAAAGGAAAACGATTCTGTAGCAAAATATCCATGGATGAACTTTATCTTTAAAGCAGCAATGCTTTTCCACCAGTATAACTTGAGGGAAGAAACAGCTCACACTTCTTTCTTTTAAATGAAACAAAGGAAAAAATATTGACCTTGAATGTCACTTTTATTACAGCAGCTCCTTCAGCTTTGTCATAAAGCTCCAAGGTTATGAGTGCTCTGGAACCCAATTACACTGTACATCACAACCATGGCTATTCTGGCTGCTGAACCCTTTTCTGAGCTGGGCATGGAAAGACCAGGCTGGCTCCAAAATAATTTCTCAGTCCTTTCCTATAAAAACCAGAAGCCTGAGTCTACAACATCTAAGCTGCTGCCTGCACAACTGAGCAGTGACTCAGGAAAGATCCTTTTCTATAGGGCACAGCATTAAACTACTTTTTTCTTCACCTGAACTCCATCTCCATAAATCTTCATGCTCTGCCTCTTGCACGTGTACCATAGCAGAGCTACTGCTGGAACAGCCCCTTTCCATCCCCTGCACTCAGGGCAGCTGATTTTCTAGTGCACTGGGAAGTTGCACGGTGCAGTAATCCTTCTTCTGCTTTCCTGAGCACCTCAGTGAATGAGGCAAATTAATAAATAGGGAAAAAAAAGCGTGAAAATACAGAGAATGGGTGTAAGGAAAGAAGGAAAGTGTCCCTGATAGGAGGCTGGAGGAGACAACAGAGGAATAACTGTTACAAAGAACTTACAGAAGGGGAGAACACGTTGGAGAGAGGGTAAGGAAGTGGCTGAGCAGCACTGCAGGTAAAGCCTTCCTGTTCAGTGAAGAGCAAACCTTCTCTCCAAAGATCTCTCAAACTACTGCAGAATAAAGCCCTACCCACATAAACCCTTGAACTCCTCATTCATCCCTTTGTGACCTTTACATTCTACTGCAGTCAGGTACCACAACACAGCACACTCCAAGCAAAACCCCTTATTTATATACATATATATACACACACAAACAGTCCAGTGCTTTCAAGTGTATTTACAGGTCCCTTTCAATCTTCAGTTTTAATTCAGCATTAACAGCAGTGAGATAGCAAGCATTATGGGTTTTAACTTGAAGGCAACTGTGTCATAGTAGGCACACTCTTACCTTTAAATAAAATTGGAGGCTGTTCTTCACCTGATAACATTAGGCCTTAAGCCAGGATGAAAATTTTCACTGCAAGGAATTTCCAAGGCTAACAAGGTTTTTATAACTTGCAAGGCTTATAACAAGTTTATTAAGAGCAGAGGGAAGTGAAAACCTTTATGCCGAAAACTGACTTTACTTAGGAACAAATAAAAATTGAAGAGTAACTTTACTTATAATTTGATGTTCTATGAACTATTTGCTTTCATAGTTATGTTGTACTGAAGATCCTCTAGTATATACAAGCTACTCTTTCCTCTATGGAAATGTAATCCTATTCCCTCCAAGTAAAACAGACTTTTTGCCCCCAGAATAAGCAGGATTGGACCCTTCCAATCATATCACCAAGTTACCACTGTCTATTAAGAACTCTTGTCAGAAATGGTTTTATTACTTTGTCATTTTATAAAAGACTAAATGCTATATAAATCCATGGAAATTATGGTGTTAAACATTTTAATACTCTATATACTCCAATTTCACTGTATCAAAGAGTACTGCATGCATATTTGCCATAAGAATAAGTGTTCTGCCTGCAGATATTTGCTAGTTTTGCACTAGTGGAGAAACATGCTCAGGTTTCTGAAAAAAAAATGCTTCTCCTTCAAGTTTAAAACATTTTTTTTTTCATTCTTGTTCATTCTTCAGTCCCTTCACATACCATCTATCTAAACTATCTGCTTGTATGCTGATCTCTAATCTTGTTCAAGCATTTAAATTTGCTTTGGAGGGAGAGTTTAGGGTGTTTTGCTGTTCGGTTTTTTTTGTTGGTGTGTTGTATTTTTGGGATTTGATGGGGGGGTATGTTTTTCTTCATTTATTTTGTTTGGTTTTCCCTCTAGCATCCCAGATTTGGCTTAATTATTCCAAGTTGTCTAGGTTCCCTTTTCTCACGTTTTCCTCATTTTTTCTATCCATGGAACCAGATTGCCTTCACACTTTGCAAATGCCGCAAGAGAAGCACTGAAATCATGGGAGACTCCTGGGGAAGCTTTTGTACAATTGTAGAGAATTTTGTTTGCCCTGAAGAATCCTTTGTTAAAAATTCTGAAGGTTAGAATGTGCTCAAAGCTGACGTGATGCTCAATTTTTTCTTTCTGCTAAGCCAAGCACAAAAACATTGAAATGCTTTTCAGATTATTGAGAAAATTGATAGTCTTCAACAGGCAAAACTCACCCTTCAGAACCTGACCATAAAAAAAAAAACCTTATAGGATTCACACTCCTTTAACTTTATTTTATAGTTAGGAGAGACAAGTTTCTATAGAGGAAACATAGAATCGCAGCTTATCTGTTCTTCGAGAAATGATGTAGAAAAACATGATACACACATAAATTTGAATACATGTCATCAACCAGACACTACACACTGAACCAACAGTAGCTTCTCAGCCTTGCACAAGGGATAAGGTTAATCCAATGTTCCTCATCTAATCTCATTCTAAATGCTACGCTGATGTGTAACTGTGGACATCAACAGCAAAACCAGAACAAACCTTGCAGGCAAGAGAGCAAAACAGGCAATAAAAAAAAAAGAATGTTTTTATTTAATGACCCCAGACTTTGGGACTTGCCAAGTCGTTTGCCTGTTTCCACCTCTGCCCCGGCCCCTGAAGGGAGCAGTTTACCTCTCAGGGCAATGTTTGGTGTGCCATCACTGTGCTCAAGGATGGAAGAGCAAGTGTTTTAGCTGGAGCACTCACTGCTCCCTGTGGCTAATACTAACTGACACTTCTCACTGCTTGCTGTCGATGATAGTTTTGCAAAAGCTAAACTGGTTGGAGTGTAATAGTCCGTGCTCGACAAGCGCCTCGGGCCAGTATTTCAGCTGGAAGTTCCTGCTGGAACAGCCTGTCATTTTCAAGAAACATTATATTTTTCTCTTCACCTTCTTTCCCTTTCTCCCCACCCTAGTAGACTTTGTTTCATCCTTACTGAAACACAGCTGTTTTTCATTCAGCTCTCGTGAGATTTCCATACACATGCTCAGGGCACTGGAGTTTGATGGTGTGTGCTAAAGGTCACCCAGCTACGCATTAAATTAGTTTTTATGTCTATGAGCATTCACCTATACTCAAAAAAAGCCAAGTGATTGTCTTCGTTTGATTAAAAGTTTTAAGCCTACTGACTCTAATTTCCAGAGTACCAAGGTTTTTTTAAAATATTCACGTGCATTGGACGTACAATTTAAGATTAATCAACACCATTTGGAATTCTTTCGCCCAGGGAAAAGAGGAGGGTCTTAGAGTAACAAATTGTGTGTGACGAGCATAATCAGGCAGAGCTGCATTTAAGTCACACAGGTAACATATTATTTGATACTTCCCAGCTACATATCTGGGTCAGTGTTTCAAAGAGGTGAACAGTCCAGTTCACCTGCAGTTCAACATCTGTGTTGATCAGCCCTGAAAAAATTCAACTGTGGGTGCAGCCTGTGCAATGCTGCAAAGCAATGGGTGTTCACAGCTCTCTGCTTCTCACTTCTCCTCTCTCCCATGACTTCCGCTCTTCCTTCTCCCTGCCCTCACATCTCCACTCATTTCACCCCACCACACAGTATCCAAGCACAGGAAAAGCCACACCTGTTAGTTCTTCACTAGGAATATGGTGACTTGAAATACAGCCTCAGTGTCTCTCCTCCCATTTTTGGAAGATCAGAGGAACTTCAGGGTGCCTGAAGGTAAAGAAGTTGAGATTTAAGTCAGAAATCAGTCAACACTTTTGGTTCTTCCATACCTACTGCCTGAAGCAGACACTGGCCTTGTAAAAGAAGGCTTTTCTGCAATCCACACATGCATTATGAGAAAGATTTCTGATTTTCATTAAGTTTTCTCAGAGCAACTGAGTGAAGAGTGCCTGAAGAATCTCATTAAAATATTGACACAAGGGGAAAAAACAACTGGCATTTAATATTCAACCAAAAAATAAGTGCTAGATTTCTCTTTTGTGGCGTACACTCGTCAGAGAGAATCACAGAATGGTTTGGGTTTGCAGGGACCTTAAAGGCCATCCAGTTCCAACTCCCCTGCCATAGGCAGGGGCAACTTCCACTAGACCAGGTTGCTCAAAGCTCCATCCAGCCTGGCCTTGAACACTTAGAGGGATGGGGCAGCCACAGCTTCTCTGTGGGGGACACCAACAGAACTGCAAAGTAGCCCGCACACATTTGCAGAAAAGTCATGAAGAAAACTGTTCTCCTTTAAACTTTTCATTAAGTGCTACACCTAGTTAGCAAGTCTGCTACACTATAATGGACATTAAATTTTCAGTCACTGTAGCTTTTAGACTGCATGTCACAGGAGAGAACTCTCATGACAGACATTATGTGCATTTATTTTTCATATTTGGCCATTGACAAACACAAATGCACAAGTTCCTGAAGTGTATGTCCCTGCACAATAGAAACAAGTGTCATTTTGGCAATTAAGGAAAGTCTTTAGGTTCAGCCTTGCTTAAGATGGAAAACACTCAAAATTACATGACATGCCTTTCTCTGTTATGGGCACTGTTTAGGGAATGTGGTCAAAGAGCTGTCAGCTCCCATCAGTGGAGTATTTCCCTTCCAGGGAAAAACAGCCTGGTGCAGTCTACTTGGGCCATCTCCTCTCACCAGAAGAAGGGAGGGGGTCGGGAAGAAACAGAATTTTCTTCCAGCAGCTTTCCCAGGCAGGGATTTGGAGCATTTTATGACCACCCATAATTGGTTTGGTTCAGCCAACACTTTTTATTCCGGCTCTCAGAACTGTATCCAAAAGGGAGAAGTCTGTTTTCTTTAGATAAAGATTCATTTTGCAGTATCAAACCTAAGGCCTCGTCCCCACTGCGCCTAGATCTGAGACTGAACACAGAGAGGGGTTTGCAACAGGATCTGACCATGGGAAAGCAAAGCTGCTTTCAGTGAGACCTGCTAGATTTGGGAGACTGTGAGCCCAAGCAGCCCAAATCCTAAAGGGGCCTCCCCAACATCTTTTGAACTGATTTACAAGTCTGACTTGAGAACTCCCTGATATGTATTTACAAAGCAAACAGTAGGCCTTTACGGGATACGAAATGGCTTTACAAAACCCGGGGTCCAAACATTTCAAGGCACCATGACAGAGGTTCGTTGACATAAAAGAAAGTTTCTTGTTCTAAAGGCTTTAAAAGTTGGCTGTAAATTTTTGCATCTATTCCTTTCCCACACCTCACACACTTCAGTGACTCAGCCTGCTGCAGTTACCTTGTACTTTAACTTTTGTATCAACAGCTTGTATTAGAAAGGTAAATATTTTCACAACCATCAAACAAAATATTATGTCTTCCTTGCTACCAATACCAAAGTCTCATTTTGTCTATGCTCGTATCTTTCATTTCCTTTTTTCCTCATTGTGTGTAATTTCAGCATTTGACCTAATTCTCACCACTTTCACTTGAGGCAACACACAAAAAAAGTATTTTTAAGCAGAAAACACAGACCCTCCCAAATAACTGACAAATATTTGCCTAAATTAAAGACAGTTACGTACCTAAGAGGAAGGGACAGGCAAAAAGTAGATATGATGTAACTCAGTTGAGACGGATGCAATTTGGTGAGTTTATACTTAAAAAACAAACATGCATTTTATACAGAGTAACTTGGAAATCAGCGGCAGAATTATTTAGAGAGCCCAAAGCTGCTTCAGAATTATCTAAAAGAGTGATAAGAACTTCAAAACAATGTAGCTAAAATGTCAATATTTATTTAACATAGCAAGCCTTTATCCTTTCTCAAGAATATTTTGTGTGTTAACTTAGGTACCAAAGGTTCTCTAAGAAAAGATGTCAATACAACTGTGCAAGTTTACCTGGTAGAAACCAAGATAACACTCCTAAAGAAGCCAGGATAAGGTAATTCTTGAAGTAGCTCAGAGCCCTGTGAAGGGAAGGACAGCCAATGTGAATATATGGTGCTGCTTTTATTTTAGCTTCACCTGAAACACCTGGCTGGGACGTGAAAGCACTTCATCTCTTGCCCTCACAGCAGCCCAAGAATTTCAGTATGGAAGCTGAAAATGCCAAACCAAACTTGGGCAAGTATACCAGAATGTTACATAGTACTGCAGACTTCAAATAAATCAAGACATAAAAAAATCATTTCAGTCACTGCCTTCAAACATATTTAACATTTATAGTGACATATAACACATGCACTTCGAGGACCACAGGTATTTTGCAAAAGAGATGTCAGGCTGCCCCCTGACTGGAAGTTAACACCAGAAGTCTGTGTTAACTGGGAACTGGAGGGAAAACCAACCAGGCTGTTCAAACATGTGAATTAATGTCATCTTCTTGATAGATTTCACACCTTGTACACCACGTTCCTGACGCAGCCACGTGCTTCAGCACGAATTCACAAAAACCGCTGTAGCCCCCGGGGAAGGTGACCCCACACCAGCACAGGAGTCCCCGAGGTGCTGTCCCCAGCCCCCTGGCAGCTCTGAGAGGCCCCTGCACTGCGGTACCACAGGGCTGTAACCACCAGAGCCCATCGGAGAGGCTCCAGAGCCCACGGCACTGAGCCATCACCACAGCCCCGCAGCGACCCTCCTCACCGGGACACTGGCCAAACTCACCCACAGGGCTAATCAAACACACCTACCTTCGACATCACAAATGATCCCGTCCGTCCACGTCTCTCCACCGCTCAGTTCTCCTTCCCTGGTCTAGGGGACCCGCCTTTGTCCCTCGACGGTGCCGGCACCGAGGGGGTTTCGCCTCAGCTTCCAGTCCCGCCGCCTTCGCACCTCCCGCCGCGCTCCCTCGCCCTCAGCCGCGCCACCCCGGGGCACACCTGGCGGAAAGGACGCGCAGAGTTCGCTAAAATCGGGGGAAGCCGACTGGGGGGGATTTTAACAACTGATTGCTCCGAACCGCCCGTTTATCACCTCCTCCTACTTTGGAGGCTTTATCACCTCCTACTACTTTGGAGGCTCCTAAAAGTACGGAAAAAGAACTCAGGCACCCCCCGGCGCGCGCGCTCCCCCCCTCCCCTCAGCCGCGCTCGCGCCACCCGAGTAACACCTGAGCTGACCTGACCCGACCCGACCGAAAGGGTTCGCTAAAATCAGGTGAAGCTAGTTGAGGGTATTTGAACAGTTGATTGCCCCGAGCCGCCTGTTTTCCCATCTCTTGCGTTGGAGGTTCCTAAAAAATACGGGATGGGAACTTACACGTGCCTCCCGTCGCGCGCTCCCCCTCAGGCGCCCCCGGGTCCAGGCCCCCTCCGCCCCCCTCAGCCCGCCCGCCCCAGTCCCGATCCCGGTCCGGGTCCCGCTCCCCTCAGGAAGGAAGTTACAGGTTGGCAAGTCAGTGGGAGACGCAGTGTAAAGGAGAGCGATTACGGACCGGAGGCAAGAGCGGTGACAGCGGATGGACGCGGGGGGAGCCGCGCCCCTGACCCCCGGCTGCGGCCCGTGCCCAGGGCGTACCTGTGCAGGCTGTGCCTGGTGCGGAGCTGCACAGCCCCGGGTCGGCTGCCTCCAGCTCTTAAACACGCTGAAAAGCGGCAGCCAGCAGAGTTCATATACACTGTGGTCCTTCATAGAATCACAGGACAGCTCGGGTTGGAAGGGACCTTAAAGCTCACCTGGTTGCTCCAAGCCCTGCCCAACCTGGCCTTGAACATTTCCACAGCTTCTCCGGGCAAAAACCTGTGCCGGTGCCTCACCCAGATTTTCACAATTCCCTAATTCCTTTATGAAACATTCGGATTTGCTCGTTTTATCAAGATTATATATAAAGTACACCTCCTCCTTCAATGGGACAAATAGATTAAAAAAAAAAAATCTATCAGTTCATCCAACTTTTCCACTGACATCTCTGAACTGATTTCTTTTCCACTGGCACCTCTGTCTGAACTTTTGTTTTAAAACCATTATTTTCCATCTCTCGTTGAATTTTTTTTTTTTTATTTTTTTTTTTTTTTTTTTTGTAGGCAAGTACTACTCCTAAAACTGTCTCATAGCTCCTTGCCAACACCCAGCCTCTGGAGACCAGGCATTTCTGTATTGCCTTTGCTGGCCATTCCAACCTCTGGTCTGGAAGTTCCCAGAGTATGGTATGTATGTGGGTACTTAACTTTCTCATTCATCTACACCTCAGACACCACAAACATCACTGTGGGCTTGTGCAAAGACCCTGACCAGAGCAGAACTGGAGAGCAGGATGCATTTTGGCAAATCCCAAAATGACCTGCCTTTCACAGCTTCACCTTTATGAGACATCAGCTATATATTTAAAATCCTATTTCCTAGACTGTTGTGTCGTAATGTCATTAGTAATAACAATATTTTCAATCTTACTACCTGTAACCTTACCCATATAACCTGGAAACATCAGTAATCCCTAATTAAAGGCTGGTAAGTGGCAACTGATTGCAAAAGAATTGATAATCCACTCAAAAAAAAGAAAAGTCTTCATGCAGCGAAAGGTCTCATAGCTCTAACAGAGAAAGTTGGGGGGATTTAATAGAGTTTTGTACCAGTGCTAAACTCAGCATGTTTTGTACTCTGTGTTTTGCAATGCCCTGCACATTAAGGAAAAGCAAAATTATTACCTGTTTCCAAAAGTTCCATCTTGAAAATCTGTAATGGAAAGGCTAAACAGGATTAAATAGGCCAATATAAACCTGAGAGAAGAGTTCCATGTGAAGGTGAGAAAAATTAGCCCCAGTTTTGAAGGAAACGTTTACCAAGCCTTCCACTGATGCTTTTCATGGCAATTACTGGCATAGTTTTTATGAACATCTTGAAGATTAGCTTTCCTCAAAAGGCCCATGCCATTTCTTTGGTGATAAAGCTGATGGGATTAAGAATAAATCCATTACTGTGAATAATGCATCATGTGATGAGTTATATTGGTTGAGTCTGAGTAACCTCCCTGTCAGAGGTAAATTTAGCACAGGAAATAGTGCCTACCCACTTTGCAGAATCCAGTTCAGTCACATTAAACTTAAATGCGTTACAGCAGAAGACATCAGGCATGGCTTTTCCAGCAAAACACAGTAAAGGAGATGGCAAGTCATGAATGTTTCACAGAAGTCGAGTTAATTCTAGCATTAAGAATCAGCTTTTTGTCGGTATGGTGTACAACACTCAGATTTCAGCCTGCACCACGCTGGGTGTTCATACAAGGGAACACTCCATTAGTCAGCTCCCAGTAGGCCCCTGGCTTATTCCTGTCCTATAGGAATTTTAACAGCATGTTTCTAAGCACAGCCTTCTCTCAGCCTTTGGAACATCACAATTTGCAAGCAAAGCAAAATAGGGGTTAACAAAAGTTGGAGGAAAACGCTCATTGTAACTGTTAAATGTGGATTTGTTTCTTAATCATACCTTAATCATACGTTGGTGTAGAAACATTATTTGTGTGCCTCTATGTAACTTATAATATACTTTTTACAACATATAACTCTATAATCCATGTATATATAAAAACTATCTAAAATATATGCATTTATAATTCATGATATGTAATTATATAACCAAGTTTTAGCTTCTGAAAGGAAAAGCTCATTTACATTTTTACCAGGTACCTCAGAAACTTGGAAATGCTACAGATTAGCCTGATCTATTTTGACTCAGATTATTTATGGTCTGACTAAATGGCAGCCTGTATCCCCGGGGATGTGAAATGTAAGGAAAGATCTAGCACACTTCCAAGTCGTTTTGTTTAATTCATGCAAGTCTATAGGTCTCAGGAATGGGTTTAAGATTTTCTTCATCTAATTTTATGTAGCTTCTTCCCGTTTTACTGCGTTGCTGTGCTCAAGGGGCCACAGCCCAGGGAAAAGTGCTTCTGTTTTGTTCATGGCATTTCAGGCTTAGGGCCAAGCGAAGCTCCACAGGTGTAAATAAAGAGCAGACTTGGTTCTCAGTGTCCCTTGTGCATGACTTATAGCTTAACTCATAAGAGTGAGAAAAAGGTGGACTGAGTTCTCGCCTTATTTAATTCCCCTAGTGACCACTCTGTTGTTTAATCACATTTCTGTAATTGCAGAACCCAGGAAAAGGCTTAAACTTAGTCCATTTGGCTGGAGTTTGTGCTTTTAAATTTCGATCACACTCTTTAAATACACCCTCTATATAGTTCTATGGCCAGGAACTGACTGACTGTTAATCTATTTGACGTTAGAATTATTCCTGTCATTTAGCTTACAGCTTCTTCTTTGAGCAGAGCACTCCAGAAAGATCCCTGGCTCAGAGGCCTTTCTGTTGAACAAGGCTATAGTTTAGAAGGTCCAAAATATTGCTGATATATGAACTGGCAGTTAAAGTCTGACAATATATGTACTGGAAGCCCCTGGCTTATCTTCAGCAGCAGAAGTATGCCAAGCTGTAAGTCTGGTAAATATACGTGATGATCCTTTTCCTTGGATAGTTTGAGTACTAAATGTTCATTTATTTTTTCCAAATGAAAAAAAAAAAACCAATATTAAAACACAGATTTTTTAGGTTTTGCCTCACAACTACATAAGAGTTTTCTGTTTCAGAGAATTGCTCCTGTTTTTATTGAAAAAAGGAAGTTTAAAAGCCATCATTCTATGTCTCCATGCAATTTATCCTTGTGCCAGGTTCCATCAAAACTAAAGAAGGAAAACCCTTGTAATTTAGAATTTGCTCATTAACCAAAATTATGAGATAGACTCTGAACTTGAGCTGTAGAGGAAGCAGAAATGGTTTCAACAACACCCACTGCAACAATTTTGCTCCGTGGGAATTAACACAGACAACATAAAAAAATGTTTAAAAGTTCAGAGATGAGCTTTTCTAACCCAAAGAACCAATTTAACTGTGAGAGCAATTCATCACACTTTCAAAACTGGATCCTGGTCCATATAGTGGAAAAACACCATCAATATGTTCTTTAGCCAGCAGGATGTAGTTTGCTTTTTTAAATGTAAACTCCACCAACCTCTGTTGAACAGGTACCTTGGGCTGCCTGGCCTAAAAGCATATTAACTGGTTGTAATGCAAGACATCTTCATCTTCATGCAAACTGTTAATATTTAATTTAGGCATGCACAGTGAGCAAATACGTAAGTGTATTAATTCCTTTGCAGTTCTCTGATGTATACAGCAGCTCTGTGATTTGATTTGAATTGATTTTGCTGCTAACTCTGGTGACCTCCAATAAAAAATTGTTGCATTCACCACAGTGATTTATGATGGCAAAACTCTCTATTATATAAATACTTTCCAATGCATTAGTCAGAAATCCACTATCTTACTTCATTAAACCAACAAATATAATCAATTCTTATCTGATTTACAGTTTTTTATGCAAGGAAAAATGATTTTACCTTTATGCCAAATGGAGTTAAAATGTAGATCCTGTAATATGAAATGTCTGTGCCTCAGTGTGTAAGTGCCACTAATCAAAATCAGCGTCCACATTCAAGATTTGAGCTCTGATCACAGTCTGGCTTGCACTTTACAGGAATTAAATGCATATGCATGTTTTGATAAACAGTGCTGAACATTAGCACTGTGCCTTTTTGCAGTTAAACAGCCACCTAGTTTTAATCACAACGGAAAGTGAAAGGCATGGCTTAAATCTGAGCATCCAACAAATGACATTAGGAGACAAAGTGTTTACTACCAATTAGTTATGTGGCTCTTCTTTCAAAACATCCCCAAGTACGTTACTATCTGACTGCACATGCTTGTGCACTGATATGTGCATCCTGGAAATATTATACACAGGAATTGCTTCAACCGTATCTGAATTGCAGATACAGGATTTGCTTTCTGTATGTATGGAGACAGAGAATAACACATTTTCAGAAGTAATGCATCTTTTAATTTAGAAGGATAGATGTGCTGCTGAATCTATGGCTCC